AAGCCAGCGAATCAGTATATGCCGGCTATCTGGGTTCAGCTGGTCACATTGCCATTTGCTTGCTAACAGACATAACGATTGATTATTGACCTCGATTTAGCAGTTTAGGGTTTCCTACTTTGAGATATGTACAATAAGAGATAAGATACTGTAAGATAATTAAGATAAGAGTTGTTTCTATGATATGAATTTGAGGAAAAATATTATCTTCACCTTCTTAGGTATTAACCTAGGACAAAAGTTTCTGTAATATGGCCCCAGTTTTCTGTTTACTCTGGCCTGGTCATCCCTGAAAATGGTACCCTGCTTTCAGAGCTCCTTTACCATACACACTTCAACATTCTCCCTGTCTCACCAAGAATGAGTTTCAGTTTTCTTGTCCTTGTGCCCCAAGTGGTGAAGGGCACCTCCAAAACATGTTTTAGAACTATACCATTGCATGGTTGTTCACATCTTTTCCCTCAGGGCTCCAGGCAGTGGCTTTTGTGAGAGCAAAGTAGGCTCGAGTTGCACAGTCTCGTTGCTGTAGAGCAGTGATCCACACAGTGTTTTTATACGGGGCACAACCTCAACCTGGTCCTTGTTTGGTGGGCAAAAGGATTTTTAGTTTACCAAAGTTTTGGCTATATTTATTTATCTTTATTTGAAACAATAGCTGATTAGTTATAAAATTGTGTAAAAATACAATGAAATGAAAAATGAATTTATTTTTGAACTGTATATCAGTGAAATCTGATGCAGAAAGCTATAAGTCACGAGGAAGTGTCAAATATTTAAAAATAAATTGTCCTTTTCGTACTGTCTGTACTGATCAACGTTGGAAATGTAGTGTCATAAACAGAGACATTACAACTTAACCTATTAAATTCTACTGGTTACAATTCTCACTGTAACTTTGTTTTGCATTTGTAAAGCTCTGAAAGAGCTTTTAATGTGTTTTCGACTGTAACTGTAAACTATATATTAAACTTAAAGGGGAAAGCTTTGGAATAAATTTGGCTTGGCATTGATATGAAATCCCAGGTGGTTGTTAAGATGTCACTGTGTTATCCCAGGTAGTTGCTAACGTGTTGCTAGGCCATTGCTGCAGTACCCAGGTGGTTGCTAAGGTGTTACTGGGCTGTTGCTGTGTTATCCTTGTTGGTGTTGCTAGTTCCACGTGGTTGTTAATGTGGTGGTGGCCATTGCTGTGGAATCCCAGACAGTTGTAAGGGTGTTACTATGTTGTTGCTTTTGCTTATTTCCTTTGTAATTGTGTCTAATTTATTAACTCATGCAAATTTTGACTGCAGTTTTCCACTGGTCGCATCTGTAAAAAGTAGAAAGTATCGTTTCTAAATAATTTTCGGAAAAAAAAATATCTATACGGCTGCATATCTTTAAATACTTTTGGATAAGGATAATGTTGAATAAATGATTGTCAGTAATAATCAGCAAAAAAATGGTAGCGCTTCAGTTATTTATTCACTCATGGTTTTCTTACTGGTGTTCAAAAAGTTTCACAGCACAGTAATCACCACTGTTCATACAAACTCAGAAAGTGCTATATTAGCATTACTATAATGATACAGCTGCAGTGTGTTTAGAAAATCAACAGTTTTACTTTGTCTTATGGAGAAAAGGATAATTGTGTTGTCTGTGAAGATCTTTCGGAATCATCTGTCCTAGCTGAGCTTTAGTTTCACCGTTTTGGGGATTGTTTCCGAACCCCCGGGGCTTAACGGAGAACATAAACAAAGCGCTTGTGTTTGTCGGTGAGACGGAAAGTAAAACACAGGCACCAATCACGCAGCTGTCACTCAAAGTTGTTTGAATTTTGCTTTTTTACTGAGGTATAATTCCCTGCCACCTTTTGGTAAACAAAGCTTGCTTTTATTTAAACTTGGGAAAACAAATAAGAGGCAGAAAAACAACTTTCTTTGTTTTGTTTTGTTTGTTTTTTTTCCCCACTTAAAAACACACATGGAGTAAAGCGTGTAGTGAAGAGTTTCAAATTCTGAATTAGTATTCTCTGGCTTTAGCGCTGGATTGACCTTCGCAGCACAGATTCAAAAAAGCCTGAAGCAAGCTCCTTCTTTATTCCATTGATTTGCAGACTACATGAGAGGCAGCTTATGTACAGTAGCTCCTCCAGTAGCACTAAATCGTTTCAGTCAAGGAGGCCTGTTAGCCTGACAAGGTCACCGCATCTTAGCACTGCTTCTTTTGAAGGCTTCTTACATATGAGTTATATTCTTTGTTGCCACATTTATAGCCTAAACATAAAAGCTTATCAGCAGGTCTGTGTAGGCCTTTGAGGTAGCATAACATATATTAGAGTCAATTGATTGCGTGTTTACAGCTGTCTGCTGTCTGCAGAAGCCCTGAAGTCTTTTTCTGAAACAAATTTACACCTCATTTATTTTTTACTGCCACATCCAAAACTGCAAAAACAACTTAAATGTTTTCTATAATCAATTTTCCTCCCAAATTCCCACCTTCAAAAAAGTTCTGTCCCCTGATTTTTTTTTCTGCATTTTGGAGGTACTGTGGTTGATTAAGATGAAAAATGAAGTTCATTGGCTCACAGTTAGCTTATTATACCAAGTTCAACCACCAGGAGAAGTATGTTTGCTACTTATGAATGACTCAGTACAGCTTTTGCTTTTCTGATACTAACACCAATACTAAAACCTTCAGATTTTTCTTCTTTCTTGCATTAAAGTAAGCTTAAGAAGCGTGTCATGTAACCTCTTAATGCAATCCCTCTAGTAGCCATTCCACCAGCATAGTGGAAACTCAACTTGGATATGTTTAGTTAATGTTATCAAACTAAACATTTTCCTTGTAATTCTAACTCTGTTATCAAATTAACTAGGACATTGTTGGCTCTCTGTGTGTGAAATGTTGTGTTGAGCTGCTAGTGAGCAATGAGGAGTGAAAGGGGAGGGGTGAGAACCCCCTCCTTTGAAAACAGCTTATACATCTCCACAAAGACAACCATGCAGAGATAAAATGAACAGTGCAGCTTTCTTATATAAAAAAAATTGTGTACAGTAGACTACCACAATAAAATAAAATAGCATTTAAACAAGCACTGTAATAAATCTTGACTTACTAGTTCACCTACAAAGACTCCAAATCTAGTCTGTCCTGCCATTCATTCACTCCAGACTTTAGTTACTGACCCTTTTTCAACTTTGGTAGCCTGCTGCTGGCCTGTGCACCAAAAAGTTTTAAATACAGCTCCTTTTTGGGTTACTTTAGCTTCATCTTCTCATCATTCACCGCCCAAGCTTCTATAATGATTCTATCAAAACTTCTGTGAAAGCTGCATGTCAGGAATGTATGATTATGCACGAGGAAGAAAGTGTTTTTAAGTCCTTAAATGTAGCTGACTTGGCTAGGCTAGTAAACATCAGCATCAGGTTTGCTTGTATTCCCTTTATCAAACAGTTATTAATAGCTTTGATCAAATGTTGCATTAACTTTATTTAATCCTTTATGAGCATGAAAACTGATCTGACAATCAATCAAGACATTTGCATGGTGTCTATTGCGATAAAACACAGAAATGTGGTTTGCCGTTCTAAAAACGACACTAAAGTTTAAAACTGCTTTCAGGAGAGCTGGAGGAGAAAGAGGAGGTTAAAACTTGAACACATTTGAAATTTGATCAGGAGCTTTCAAACATTTGCATGCGTCAGTAGGTTCTGCAGAACATTAGTGCAACTATTTGACTTATACAACCAAGTTAGCCTGTGGTTAGCGACTTACCTCCTGATGTTTTTTCATATGTTATGCTTCCAGTGCACCTTTACAGTAGAGAAAAAAAAGAGAAAATGTGTTTTGAGGGAAAAAAACTGAAAACCAGTTCCACTAAAACATTTTTGTACCTGGTTTTCATACACGCCAGCAGAAAAACTACAGGGTAGAAATTCAGCTCACATTTTTTTTCACCTTATTCCTCCAGGGCTTGCGTAGCTGTTTGATATTTGATGTGTGTTTGTAAAGATGCCTCTCGCTGTCTAAAAGGCGCACAGTGGGGAGGCTTTACATAATGCATTACACAATATCATGACCGCTTCCATTTAGATCTACCTCAAATGCACACAGTGCACCACAATGGCAGTAGATTGCAAATTTATTGCAGATTGTTTTCTAGTTGTGCTCTGTTGTGTTTCAAGGACACAAAATTAAATAAACTGGCTGCTGTTGAAATGTTCTGTTTTAGCCCTCAGGGGTTTGTGATTGTGATCACGGAGGGAACATTTACAATTAAAATCTTTTTCAAAAAGCCTTTTGTTTACAGTCGCAAATGTTTTTAACTTTAATGCATCTTATAGGAGAATTTACTAACATCAGTTTCTCAAACAATCGGCATACATCAGTGGTTGAGCTGTAAATGAAGTCATTCAGAGTGGTTTGATGTGAAATGGGTCATTGTAGAGAGACTCAGATTTCTGTACAGTGGTGGTAATGGGAACCACAGGTCACCATGTCTACAACACAAATATAGCCATTTTATTTATTAGCCAAAATGAGCAGTAAACCTGAAAAAAACAAGTTTTCTTTGGAGATATTTTACTGCATGTAACCTTTCACTTTAAATGGATGTTATATAATGTTTTAGATAAAAACCTTCTCAAAACTATCATAACAATGTTTCAGACATCAAGCAGCACATTTATAGCCATTTCATGTAATAACTTTCTGTGAGGGAGCTTCTAGAAGCATTAAACGTTTCAAGACGTCTGGTTCCTATCACCACCGCTATAAACTATTCTGACTCAGTAAGTTTCTCTAGAATGAAGCATTTCACATATACTTTCCCTGTAATGAATGAGATTTGATAATAAGTAATTTTGCAACATTTCTGTTTGTCCATTCATGATGTTCACACACTGTAAAGGGCAGCTGGTGCTTTCAAATGGTGTAAAAACTTGGAAAAAAAAAATGAATGATATGACAACAGTGTTAAACCATCTGCTCAGTCTAACACTTCATTTCTTCCCTTATAGCTGTGTATGAACAGTCATGTGAGGCTTATAAACACCTGGGTAGATCTTCGGACCTGTACTGGATTGACCCCGACGGCAGTGGACCTCTAGGACCCTTCAAAGTCATCTGCAACATGACAGGTAATTCATAAAAATCTTAACAGTATGAAAAGGCCCATAACATGGAAAACTGGAATTGGCCAGTCTGTATATGGAAATAAAACTGCAGTAACAGCCCATTTCAAAACGTTTTTGTGATGTCATAAACTTAACTGCATACAGTGCAGAGCCCACCCTTCATTTATTTAATTTAGTCAAAACAGCCATTAAGTACAAGTTATTTGTTTTTCAGCGTCAGGAAAAGAGCGGAAAACATATATTTAACAGAAAATTAAATATAATATCAAAATTTTCTGTATTTAGTGTGTCCACTCTTTGCTTTATTACAGCTTTCATTTTTTCAGAAAACTTACTTTCAGTTTTTCAAAGAAATTTGTATGGATATTTTTGCAGAAGTTGGTTCTGCAGTTTCTTTTTCACACAATCCAGATAACCCCAAACACTCAGGTGGCAAGTTCATTGTTCTGAGAACACCATCATAATTCATGTTTTTGTTACATAAACCTTGAGAAAAATAGAAGTGTAGGATAAACTGTAGAATAGGCGTCAAAAAAAACTGAGTATTCAGTAGTTTTTAGTTCAGTCTCACTGCATAATACTGGTTTCTGATATGCATTTAATTCACGTTAATTAAATACCCCGAGGTTTACTTTGCATTAGCGCGCCATATGAGACATCGCTCAGAGACCAGCTCGCAGTGTTTAAATAAGGCACGCTCTTTACTCGAGGCACCTTCCTCCAGAGAAAACTACAAACATTTCCTAAGCCAACTCCTGAGATTCAAGAGAGGCACACCATCCCTTCTCTGGCCAAACATTTGCTTTAACATCGCAGCCCATTTGTTTCCAAGGCAACCTGGCTCCGTTACGCTGCGCCAATCTTGGACTACAGTGTTAAAAGTCCCGGTAGTCCAAACAAACATCAAATGTGAAATAAGTTACTTACAGAAATCGGGCGTGTGTGGATATCAGCACATGAAATGCTGAAATGCTATCAGTTTGGGCCAGGCCCGAAGTCTTGAAAAATCCCCTGCGCTAATGTGATGGGCAGCAGAGATGCCAATTAAATGAAAGTGGCTTTGCAAATTCAAACGGATAGAGAGTTCATTGAACTTTATTCCCAAGAGAGTGCACGAAGGCATGCAGGAGGATAGAAATTTTAGTCAGAACTTGAAAGACATCCACAACAAAACGCACCAGAAAGTATAATCCTTTAATGTGTTGAATTTGTAACAGCTGTTGTAGTAAATCACCACTTATGTCCACTAAACCATGACTCAGTTCTGAGAAGAAATGCTCCTTCAACATGAAGTAGTGAACATTGCCTTAATTTTTTTCCTTTATTAATAGCTCAGATTTATATCAGCTATGAATTTCATATACAATGCATATTTATGTAATTATGTAATGAATTACATTTACATTCTGAAACCCCCTTAACCCCCTAAACTGCTGTAGGCAGAACATCCTTTTTTAGCGTGGGGAGCTAGAAGGGCAGCTTAGGCACTCTTGCCTGGAAGGCTTAGGTCCCTCACAGACTTTTGATTGCCTAAAAGGAAAAGACGTCCTCTGATGCCAGCCAAAGTCTTACAAAACACAACTGGTCTTGCTCTCTTATAATAAAGGTTGAACCCAAAGATGTTGAGTTTATGCATCCTCATGTCTTAAACAAATAAAAGTGACCACCAAACCTCTCATTTGGTCATTATCAATTTCCGCCTGCAGCTGTCACCATAGCAACGTTTACATGGCTGCATGCCATCACTGAGTACCGCTGTGATTTTAAACCAACTTGTTTTTTAACTCCAATCACTAAAGCCTACTCACTGTAGCTAGTGAGCTATTAAAGTAGTAAAGTTGACCATGGTGAAGAAATCGAAGTTGGAGAAATGTCGAGAAAATTAGTCTTGCGCCATTCACTCCCAGACATCTGCGGCCAGTGATGGAAAGTTAGGGCTCTGGTTAATTAGCCACTACTCGCCGCGATAAACAGCAGGAGGTGAGATGAGCAAGCCTAACCCTGAGAAACCATAGCACACTGTCCATAGTAGAGATCTGCACGGGACCATTTTTACTGTCCCCACTGCACCTGCAAGATATCATCCCACTCTTGCAGAAAATCTGCACCGTTTGTCCCGCTGCCATCTGCAGCCTTAATGTTTTGTCCTGCCCTGGCTCACAGACCCAAATAGCCTCTTTTTTGTCTGCATTAGTCACAAATTAACAGGACTGCAACATGTCAGACTTGCTGTTAGTCGGCTTTATTGTCTTATATTTGCCTTTATTAAGAATATTTTCCACAGCTGCGGCTGTCTGACTGTCTGAAGGCTCCACCTTTTCTGTAGCCTACAAGAATGAAATTCGCATATTCTTCATGTGATTGGTTGCTTCACTGATATTTAGAATTAGTTCATTATTTTTTTTAGTTATTTTGCTGTTAGATATTATTTATATATACATATTATTAACTGATTATTATATTATTTTGGCTATTCTTTGATTTGTGTGATTTCTCGACACTAGGCTGGTTAACTGCCCACTCCCACGCGACACTGAAAATTAGCCCCACGCCACAAAATATTGTGGTAGGTCCGGCGGGAATGCCAGCCTCTAGTCTATAGGGATGCCCAATTCTAGCCCTGTCAAAACCGCACAGAACTTGTTGGAGGGAGAAAATATGTCTTATCACATCTTTTTGTTTTTTGGGATTTGTTTTTTTCTTTATACTTACAAAATACACAAATTAACAAGTTAATCTCACTAAGTGCTGCACAAGTGCACTTCACAATCTTTTTCTGCCACTGTGTAAAACAAAAAAAGCCACGAGAACACAACCTTTTGTTTATGCAGTGTGTCTTCAGTAGGGCTAACTGATGCATAAAATAAAAATGCATATTTAAATACCTTTTGAAACTAACTGTAATTGAGAAACAAGTTTATTTCAAACCCCACCATACTGCAGCCTAACCTTGCCTATGTGCCTACATACAGGCTGTGTCTCAGTCTGAGCACTACTGTACTAAAATGAAGCCAATGTTTAGTCATCTTAACTGAGTAGAGAGAGTGTTCAGTGTGATGCTCACTCTACCTTTTAATAATCCCCTTCTTGTTTAGATGTTTTCAGGAAAGCAAGCCCAGCATCTTCAAACTAGTAGTTTGAATACATGACTGCCTGCCTCTTAGCTGAAAAGTTTTCAACTTTCTTGGTCATGACACAACCCAAAATTAGAAAGCAAAATGCGCTTTTCTTCCTTAATGTGATGTTTCATTTCCAAGTGAAACAGAATTCTTATTCTGGCAGGAAATAATTGTGGGTGGGACATGATTTAATTTTATTATTCAGGATTTGAAAAGCACTGGTTAGCAGGCTAGCCTTTTTGCATCCATGTTGCTTTTACTTTTCTTTCACTTTAATGGCAAAAGCAAAGAAACTTAAAAAAAAGAAAATTATAGTTAAATCCATGAGTGAGTGTAACTACCTAACATAAGAGGTGGGCAAGAGGTGGACCGTGAGTGTGTGTATGTGCACTGTGGTCCATCATCAGCTGACCCGGCTCACAGCCTTAGAGCCCCACAGCCTCACAGCTTCACGGTGCATTAGAAAACTTTAGAAAACAGCGCAAAAACTGACAGATATTTGAACAACCTCACTCACGATAACATGATCACGAGTTGCCAGTGTAATCAAAGTAAAATAACTCATAAGTAATTATTTTTACAACTAGTGCAATAACCTAAAGTGAAAGAGTAAATCAAGTAAGGAGTGGAGATGATGATGGGTATTTTGACTCGATGGTAGGTCAGGGTGGTGGGAGGAGGAGGGATTGCCCACTAAGATATTAGTTAGTATTAGTTAGTTGGTTAGTATAGTTTTTTTCTTTTCACTGGAATTGAGCTGCGCAACCAAACATCAGATGACGTTTTGAAGCGGGCAAAAGTCGCTACACTTCCATTAAAGATTATGAGAAACAAAAACTGTCTTTTGAATGAAAGGCCACAACGAATTGTGTTTAATGTGACCATGAGGTAAAAAGGTCCATTTTGATATCAGGTCGACTTTAAGTTGGAGGCTTTCTGCCTCTGATGTTCTTTTTTGTTCCTATTCTCAATGTTTCTTGCCGTTCTTATTTTCATATTCAAAGTAGTGGTAACTGTGCTAGAGTTGCAGTCACCTAGCAATTTTCTGCCTGTTATATGAAAAGCTGTGCTGAATACTGGAGTTCTTACGTTTTGTATAGGAAGTGGAGAGAGACAGGCAGATTTGTCGCTTTCTGTGTGAAAAGACCTTATAGTAACTAGTTATGTAAGGTCAGCAATCCGGTGCGGTGCTTAATTTTTTTTCTATCTAATTATGTCAGCTACAACCTAGAAGTAGGTTAGTTGGTGGTTGTCCTCACTATAGAAATGTCATGAATGAGGTATGAGTTGAACATTTAGAATATGCACTTTTCACACTTTTCTCCGCTTGTTTCTATGAGCTACGAGTCAGAAATAATTTACCAGAAAATAAGAAGAGGGGGTTCAAGGTGTTTTCACCATAGGGGGTCTAGGAGGGTTAATTACGAGGCAGATTTTACAGAGTGGTGTGTGTGACAACTGCAATATGACAACCTGGAAACACCTGTTGTGTCTTTGTGTGTTTAGAGGACAAGGTGTGGACGACGGTGGTGAACAACCTGCCAGCTCAGACGTCAGTGACTGGCTCCAGCAGAGAGCGGCGCACGGTGCTGCAGCTGAACTATAGCGCCACCATGGAGCAGATTAGTGCCATCACCAGCAGCGCCGAACACTGTGAGCAGCATGTCGCATACAGCTGCCGCATGTCACGCCTGCTCAACACACCAGGTAGGGAAATATCAGCTCATTGCTTGTTTGTTTCTCAGGACAAAATGGTCCTGACTTTGTAAGGAGACCAGAGAAAAACAGGTTAGGCCTGTAACACCAACAAGATGCTCCTGACTTTTTACAAAAAACTCAGTTTTGAAAGCGCATTTATGCTTAGTAAATTCTTATTACATATGTGATATGTATGGGCCATATTATTATTACATATAGACACTTGCTGTAATACATATGGGAATATTACATTGTCTGCTGGAGGGGTGTAAAGCCCCCAGTACAGGGCTGTGGAGCAGTGGAACTGTGTTCTCTGGAGTGATGGAGCTCCATCCAAAACCTTTGGGATGAGCTGGAGTGAATCCAGAAGTAATCATCCAACGTCAGTAATTGACCTCACTAATGGTCTAGTGGCTGAATGCAATGAAATCCTCACAGCAATGTTTGAACATCTAGTGTAAAGCCTTCCCAGAAGAGTAGAGGCTGTTACTGCAGCAAAGGGAGACAAACTCCCTATTAATACACTTGATGATGAGCAGGAGTCCGCAAACTTGTGGAGATTCAGCTGTACTGATGGCAGCGTATGGGATTACATGTGGACAGTGTGGTGTTGAGTGCTGCTATGTGGATTATAGGGATTTTGCTGTGTCTTCATGCTGCACATTCATGTTATAGGATTAACACTACCGTGCTATCTGTGTATTCAGCAACATAAAGAAAATCTTTCAGTTTTTGTAGGTTGGAAGGCCTAAACCTGGACTGTGCTCATTGTGTATGGCTTATACAGATGTACTGTTGTTGTGATTTGGAACAGGACTAGTGAAGAGAAGGATCTGAAGTGATTATGCTGGTTTTGCTCTTCTCAGATCAAAAGTATGCTTTCAAAATTACTTGAAATAGGGCAAAATCTATGTTCAGTTTATCAAAGATGTAATATAACCCTAATTTAATGCTGCAGTATAAATAATGAAAGACAGCAGAAAACAAATAAATGGAAACACTTTATGAGAATAGACCTTTCACTGTTTTCTCTGTTTCTGTCTTCTGTGTTAGCATTGTGGATAATCTGTCAGATTTATGGAAACACTATTTATTGTTTTCTTTACAAGGAAAAAAAAGTGCAGAAAGAATGTAAAGTTGAATGGCATTTTTTATGTGTCAGTTGCTGTTTTTTGTATTAATACTTAATACAGTTTACTAAGATAGAACTGATGTTGTTTTCATTAGGGTTGCACCAATCCCAATACTGTATCAGTATCAGCAGTGATAGTGGCTCTTAAACGCAGTATCGATATCCACGATGGGGATACCAACACTTATGACCAAATTCACAAAGTAATTTTTGACACACACATGCTGCTGAGTGACAGAACTTAACCACACATTGGCGGTGTGGATTGACATGTTGCAGTAAAAATGCTCATGGCAAAATCTGTAACGCCAGTATTTCATAAGTAGGCAATGATAGCGGGTGATGGAAGGTATTTGTTTCCCTGTTACGCCAGAAATAAGCAAGTTTAAACATATAAGCAGTGTAAAACATGCCAACAGGAGTCTTTTACCTGTATGGTTGTTCTAGGCTTCTTTCTGTAATCCCTCATCTCCTGCTGTGCAGTCAGTTACAGTTTGAGTCAGGGGTCGGCAACATGCGGCTCCAGAGCCTCATTCGGCTCTGTTGCAGCTCCACAGCGGAATTTGATTTTTAGGTAAAAATAAAATAATCCTCCTTTTCAGTAAAATAAAGCTCTGCTGATTATTCTAACAGTTATAACAATAAATGGTCTTAAATGCTGGAGTTAATGCATAACTGCTAATTCATCGCAGACTCACAATAGCAACAGCAACAATCTGGACTAGCTAGTACCTAGCGAAAAGGCAAAGAGAAAGATTTAAGACGAACATCGACAATTTACAGATGAACAGAATTATTTGCGTTTATAATCCCTCCAGCTGGTTTCCTGATATGTTTAATCTGCAACGAGAAACTGTCAAATGCTAAAAAGTCACAAAGCTGAAGTCGCTTCTCATTCGCCAGCTTCTTCTTCAAATTCTCCCATTCCACCTTAAATAGTGCAGCAGTTCTGGTGCCTCAGGCATGATTTAAAGTGGAATGGGAAAATTAGAACAAGAAGCTGGGGAATGAGAAGCTGACTTCAGCCTTGTAAAAAGCCGAACGTTGAGAGACATTTTACAAGAAGCTATTCTACTTTTGCGAAAACGTTTTCCGCTGGAGATGCGAGAAAAGCGGCTATAGCAGAGCAAAGTTAGTCTGCATTTTCATTTATATTATATTTTTAGCCTATACTAGTACTACTGAGACATATTTACAGCCAGGATGGTAAAATGGACATGAAATGTTGTGGCTTCCAAGGTGGTTTAATTTTTGTTGAAAGGACAAAATGGCTTTTCGGAACATTTGGGTTGCCGACCCCTGGTCTGAGTTAATGTTAGTCCAGGTTGTTATTGATTCAAATTACAGACTGTGGCTCTATAATATAGAAAGATTTTTTTAGGCTTACTTTTTTAAAAACTAACTCTTTGTAAGGGCCAAGCAGGTGGTAGTTTATTGAGTTTGCTATGGTAACATTAGCTAGTTATGTAGCTAGCATGAACACTATATTCGCATGAACACTAGCTACAGAAAAAGTGTAACATTGTAGTGCTTACACTTACAACATGCGTCTGGTGTCTAGCATGGGTACTGGTCCACTCCGGGAAACAGTAGTGTGGTGATAGCGTTTTCACGTCAGCCGTAAGTTTGACCCATCAAGCTCACTGGCTAGTTCAACCATCACACATATAACTCTGTAGAGCTTTAAGATGATGTTGAAACAGGCTAAGTACAGCTGAATGGACAGTTTCAGACCATAACAGAGGCTACACAAGAGTCTATGAGATATGCGTGTGAACCAAACACACACACAGCTCACCCACCATAATTTGCCATAAGCATGTATGCTAGCAGCTACATAACTTTTTTTATGCTAATTTTAAATATTAGCATATCATAAATTAACAGACAACATGGTCACAAAAGAAAGTGCCAGAAACCTCTACACTACTGACAGTGCTGACATCTCAGCTGTCGCTAACTCCAGTTCCAGACTTTGGCTTTATAATGCTGCCAGATGCTTTACTCCTCCTCTTTTCCCCTCCTTTTTCTCTTTTTCTGCAGCCATGATCATTTATTTATTTACTGTTTCTTGCTGTTACTTGTGCCGTCTGTGTCCGCCGCCATCCCCTGGCGCTCCAGCAGCCTACTTTCTGCCTACGGAAGCAATACCAATTTGCAGTGTGCCACTGTGGGGCAGGGTGCTGATGCTAATCTATTAATGGGCATGCAGGGACCGGCTCTCCCATTCCTGCTGCTAATCTGGCTGTGAAGAATTCTTCTCCCTTTAGCCACGAAAGCCCTTCTCCCTGTAGACCTTTCAGTCTGTGCGTATTCTTCGTTTTGACCTGTTGTTTGTGTGCTTTCTGCTGCATCATCCTCCAATGTTGGTGCTGAGGTAACAACTACTATACATGCTAACGGTGAATGTAAGCCTGTAGCATTAGTTAGCATGGCATCTCATCATTAGCAACATTAGTGTTATAGGCTAAATCGTTCCTTCTACTCTCTACTTTGTTCTGTATCAGGCAATGTGAGCCGTTAAGGGAACAACTTAACCATATGCTAATGTTGCTAACAATGAACATAAGCAGCTAGCTACCAGTTAGTAATGTGTCATTTTCATAATCCTAACTGTTGGCTAATCGCTGTCATTCATTATTAGCAACTTCATTAAAGACTAGTTGTTTTGAATAGGAGATGGTAAAAATACTTAAAGAAATTGTTAAATGAACAGACTTTATGCCAAATGCCAATCAAGTTCAGTAGTATTAGCATTAGCCTATCATTCCTATTGTAACAAAACCTGATAAACTTACAGGAGAAGGAAAAACATTTTTATGGTTTAATATGAGTTAATGTTAATGTTTATTTCAAAATTTTTGGACCAATTTAGAAGTTGACAAGTTACTACTTAAAAATGTACAATTCCTACTGAAAAAAAAACAACACAGACCAGTGTGAATTCCATGTTGGTTTATGCTTGTTTTTGCTGGTCTGGTGCTGGTTTAGCTGGTCACCCAATGGTCATGCTGGTTAACCAGCTTACCAGCATCCAAAACACAAAATATGCTGGTTTTGCTGGTGACCAGCATATTAACTTCCATTGCTGCTGTCCAGCATACCAGCATCCAAAATACAACATTGTAGCTGTCCAAATAAAAACAAGTATCTCCAAACTGACAACTTTACATAAGAGGGCAAAAACTTTCTTTGCTTTCAATGTAGGTTGATGTAAAGAGATTTTATTCAAAGAAATCTTTGAGACTCTCTATTGGCCAATCATCATGAATTTTTCACACAAAATAAAGGACGGCTGCTGTGCTCAAATTATGCAGAAAACTAATAATCAAAAAAATTGGGATACTTGGACGATATGGTGGTTTTGTTGGTGACCAGCAATGCTGGTTTATACTGTTTTTTTCTAGCAGGGATTGCATTGCAATAGCTGATATGTTGATGTTGCAATGCTATTTTTTAGAATTATCACTTTGTGAGTAGCTTAGACTATTGTTATTAGCATGTATGCTAGCATCTACATTGAAGGTAAAATGCTTATTCATACCACACATTTCCATCCAGTAAAACAGTTAGCTTATCATTACTTGTAACAAAACCTCATATCTCCAAAATGGTAACTTTACTGGAGAAGGAAGTTCTTATCTTTGAATGTAAGTTAATGTAACTGCGTGTACAAGTTGCAAATAAAAAAAATTGCAATTGCAATTTATGTTGACATTTTCAGTTTGAAAGCCCATCCTAACAAAATCTATAGCCAATTTGTTACTCTTCCAGGTGAATCCCCATGCACTATTACATGACCACTAAGTGCACTAGAATGTAAATTATTATTATATGTTACTATTTTTAGAGTTAATACTTACTAAACTAGTGAGAT